TTGTTATAATTAAGCATCATACACGCTTTCACATTGTTGGTTCACATTTGTTATCGTTGTTCAATGGTTACAAGGCACCAAATTCCTAGTTGTGACAGAGTGAATGTTTCATGAGTTTACATCGAAGTATCAATCCAATAATAGCAATTATTCTCTTCACATCACTTTCAATTTTCCTTCAAGTCAAAGTTCTTTCTTAACATTCTTCTTGTTCTTAAATTATCTTTGCATTGATTATACTCAAGTTTACTTCCTTTATTACTTGAATACTTTATTGATTTAATATCTTTAAGTCTTGACTGGTTTACCAGACTTGACTGAAACTACATATTAGAAGCAGACATTAATCTTATTACTGTTAATTATGGGTTTGAGTTTTCAAACCTTGCTTGCGCATAGATCTTGTTCTCTTAATTGGTAGCAAAGCTTGAGTGGTTGTCTTTTGAATCCATAAGAACAGGTTATAGTTGATCTGAGATTACATTGGTATCTCAGTCATTTCTATGTTCAAGATAAAAGTTCTTATATATACCACTTCTACTATCATACTCTTAACTTCAAGGGCTTCTCCTAATCAATCTAAACAAATGTATTCAATGTAAATGGAAAATAGCATGGGCTACCCTGCTCGTGCTCCATTGCTAGTTGTTGAAGAGTTTGATCACTAAAAAGTTAGAATGGAAAGATTTTTACTTGGTAAGGAAAAATGTGAAGAAATATGGATATCTGTGAAAGATGGTCCATATGTTCCAATCAGACAAACAGAGAGAGATCTCACTGCAACTCTCATGAGCCAAGAAGATCAATGTCCAACACCTCTTACCGCAACAAACATCGAAAAGTTACATGTTGACTATGTTGTATTTTCCGAGATGGTGCTTGGTGTCCTTCATTCTCTCCTTTAGCACATTAAGTTGTGAAGATTTGTTAAAGAGATTTGGGACACTCTTCAAGATCTGTTCAAATGGTCCGAGAATATGAAAGAAAATGATCTGACTTTGGTTGTCAACGAGATTGATAACTTCACCACTACTCTCGACGAATAAGTTGCCTCGACATCAAATAGGTATCAAATTGTTGTCAACAACATGATTGCACATGGTGTAACTAGAACTCCTCTCGAGTATTATTTAAAGTTTATCAATAGCCTCAGAAAAGGTTGGGGAAACGTCAAGTCATGTCTTCAAATTAACGGATCTCTGAAAAAGTTAAAGCTCTAGCAACTATTTGACGAACTACAAGGCCATGAACCAATGTTGCACAAACATTAAGAGAAATCTCTGGAGGTCCTCTTGCCTTGGTTAGTTGTGTTGACCCACTTATTCCAAACATACCAATGACCGACCCTTCAGAACTACCTCACCTATTCCTTCTGTTCAACCATGTGACATCCCCAAATTCACGGCCAGAAATGACCAGTTTGATTTATGCTTTTAAAATAATTTCAGAGTAATCATTTGATTAAAAGAGTTGCGGAATTTGTTCCCAAAACACAATATGATAAAATAAAGTTTATCAAAGCATTTCTTAAAGAAATATATTTTCATTATATAATAGAACTCGGGGTGTCATGTTCCGATACAGACCAAAAGCATAAACAATACAACATAGACCTTACAACAGTTATTTACAGCTACTGGTCTATAAACAAAAAAATCTTCACAAGTTGTCCAACTTATGCTCTCGCGCCACTACCTGTAATACAAAGAAATTGATTGGGTCAGGCTTGGGAGCCTGGTGAGCATATAGGGTTTTCAACCCACAATAAATAATTATATTTAATTTCACCAACTAATAATACCCCGATTACCCATTCCCGTTATCCTCACTTTACGTCCCTAAAACAACTATTACAAGGGACCTAATTTAGGATTTTTCATCGAGATGGACACTACTGCAAAGGGGCTTCCTTAACAATAAATATCCTAAAGGCAACCATAAGGGGGATAGAGTATACCGGTGAACACATCGTTCACATCACCTACAGGTTATGAACTTGCAAGCGTTCCACTGGACTGTCTAGAAAGAGTTTGTGGTCGTCATCCATACTCCGCTAGATGACTAGATCAACAATAACATCGAGGCCTCTCATCATTTTATTTCATCACACATCCACTATCTACCCATGTTCTACCCAACATCTTTGTGTGTGTGTGTGTATATATATATATATATATATACACACACACACACACAACACAAAACATGTATAAAATATTCAATCAATACTCATTTCATATAATGCATAACATATAAACACATAACACATATTTTATGGAAATACTTCGTATTTATGTGTTAGAAGAAAGTAACTACACACTCACTTGATAAGATGATTATCGGACAACACTAATGCTCTTCAAGTAGTAATTCTTCGATGAAACCAGGATATCTCTCAGAAACCGGGCTTCTTGTAGGCAGAGTTTCGGCTCGGAAACTCTTTTCTTTTCGGGATCTTCAGGTTTGCTTCGGGTGTTGGGATGATACCGGGACTTCGGGGGTATTTATTGCAAAGTAGAACAAAGAAAAAGGGGTGAAAGAAATGAAAATTAGCAACAAATCCGGCTGCCCTCGCATCTTATTTATAGGGTGAGTCTGACCCCCGAACGCAACACGTTTCTTGAACGAATGCAGTGCGTTCCCGAAAGCAACGCGTTCCATGGACAAACGCAGCGCGTTCTGGTGCGTCATTTCTTGTCGAGTTTCAGAAGTGATGGGCTATGCGGCTAGAGGGCAACGTGGCCAATCCAAGGCCGGGTGTTGCGAATGCGGGGCGTTCCCTCTGGATAAGCTTCGGATTTTTTAAATTTATTTTTATTTAAAAACTTCAAAAACTCATATCTTTCACATACGAGCTCCGTTTTTGACGTTCTTTATATCCACGCATAGGTGAGACTATGCTCCACAAGTCTCCATTAGAAATTCATAACTTCTTCATCTGACGTCCGTTTTCGTCTGTATTTTTACCATTGGACTACTATCGATGAGATATTCGATTATCGTTTAAATTGTTTCGACTAGAAACCACTCGATCTCATATTCGAACTTTGGACTGCATACCGCTAAGTCGAAACTTCGAAAAATCATAACTTCCTAATACGAAGTCAGATTTAGACGTTCTTTTTATGCACGCTCTCGGTTTAACGTATTCTACCACTTTTGTTTATATCACTAAGGCTAAATATCGCTCCATTGTAAATTTACTAATTACATCAAGCAGTGTCGTACCGGTTCTGTCGCGAAACTTCGACATGTCAAACACTCCTTCGTTATAACTCGGATTTCGGCATTCTTTATATTTTCGGAAACCTTGTCACGATCACTAAAACTTCCTTCATAGATATCGAGCTTATCTAATATTTTACTTTATCGATTATTTTTTTTTTATCTTTAATCCATTTAAATCACACAATTAAGCAATAAACACATAATACTCAAATAATACATTCTTATTATTTCAAAACGAGTTACAAAGGTTAACTTAGAGTGTTACACCATCATTAATGCTTAGCCTAGAAACACAGGCGTTACAAACCAACTCTACCTGTTCCTTCAAATCCCAACTATTAGTTTGATGGAGACCTCGATGCTGAAGCCATGGACTCCGAACTGTGTTTCCAACAAGAGTTTGCACTATTGTCCATGAAATACAAACGTCCATGGAATCACAATCAAAAACCTTATCAAAACCATTTTCAAGCACCTTATAACAATAATCCTCAACCAATTCCTAAACCTTCAGAGAACCCAACTGCTTACAAACCTAACATCTCCTCATCAAATCATTCATTGGAATCCTATTATATTTTGAAATCAGACAAACCTAAGATAGTTTGTCACAAGTTTGGTAATGGTAATCATTTTGCCAAAGATTGTTTAGGTGAAACCACCCAAAAACTAAAGTCAAGGGTTCTGCACACTATGCTTGCAAAGCTCAGTAAATGGATGCTAGTGAGAAAGATTTTGTTACAACTGTGTCAATAGATGGTGAAGGATACTGGTCATCTGGAGATGAGGATGATGTGAGCACTGGAAGGAATATGTGTCTTTTGGCTAGACAGATAATTGAATGTGATGAAGGCTATTGGTCTTCAGGTTCAGAAGGAGACGATAAATATGCTGAGCCAAACTGTTGCTACATGGCAACCAATGATCCACCATGCGAAAGCATCGTTCAATAGGCACTTTGTGCTTCAGAACAAGATAAAATATGATATATTGATAGTGCTTGTTCCATGCACATGACATGGTAGAAGGACATTCTGCGTGATCTCAAACTCTCTCTAAATGTTGGTTGCATGATGTATGGCAACAACTCAAATTCACAAATCCGAGGTTATGGCATCCCCATCAGCAGGAGTTTATCTGTCTCAAATGTGGCATATCTAACTGATCCGAAACACAACATGATTAGTGTGGCTCAACTTACTGATGCAAATCGCCAAGTTGAATTATGCAAAAAGCATAGATACTTCATAACAGAAGACCTGAAAGAGTGTCTGATCAAGTACAATCACAACAAGAACATGTATCTTTTAGACATTAACATGATCATTGGAAAGCCTCGACTTTGTCTACTCTCAAAATTTGTTCCTAACGTCAGGTGGATATGCATCGGAGGCTTGCTCATCCAAACTTCTGATATATGAATGATCTTGTATCCGATGAAATGTTCCGAGGTCTGCCACTCCTCAAATCCAAAAACGATCATCTACGTGCTACTTATGAATGTGGGAAGCAATCGAAAAAGAGCCATCATGTTATCATTGAAAAGTCAATTTCGGAATCATTAGAACTTCTGCACATTGATCTTTGTGGACCCTCCATCGTAGAAAGTCTACAACACAAAAAGTACATTTTTGTGATTGTTGATGATTTTAGAAGGTTCACATAGGTCTTCTTCCTTAGGCTAAAATCGGAAACAGGCTCGAAACTCATTAATTTCATCAAAGGAATTAAAGTTCTCGTCAAACTTCCTGCAAGAAGAATCTGAAGTGACAATGGCTCATAATTCATCAATGTCACCATTGAGAAATTTCTCTCCGAGAAAGGTATCGACCACAATTTCTCTGCTCCCTACACTCCTCAACAAAACGGTGTGGTTGAAAGAAGAAACAGAACCCTCGTTGAAACTGCTCGATCAATGCTTAACTTTACTAATCTACCACTTTATCTTTAGGTTGAAGTTGTGTCCACTGTATGCTTTACTCAAAACCGAAGTATCATTAATCGACGCCTCAACATGACACTGTATGGAGCCATGAATGGTTGCAAGCCAAATATCTCATTCCTACATGTTTTCGGCTGCAAATACTTTATCAAGAACAATCGTGACCAACTCATAAAGTTTCAACCCAAAGCTGATGAAACAATTTTTTTGGGACACTCCTCCAAATCTAAAGCCTACCGAGTTCTGAATCATCGAACTCATGTATTTGAAGAAAGCTTTGATGTCACTTTTGAAGACAACTATGTTCGGAATTATGACCCAACCCATGTTACAACGTCCATTATGATGTTCGATGCACCAACTCGAGGATCTCCGAATCCTCAAATCATTTATGATAATAAAGGAAATAAAACAAATGATGGTTAAACAAAAATAGAGGAAATAAATGCTATGGGAAATGATATATTTAACAAATATTTTTTTTAGGTTATTGATTTATCAAAAAACCAATAAACAAATAAGTTATTTTTGAAAAGCAAAACACCAATTTAAACGTACATCTTCTTCCGGTGGTATCGCCGCTGATAAAACTTCCCAGGCGGTGGGTGGTGTGTGGCTTAGCCGCTGTTACATATGCCATACAATTCGAGTTGCAGTCGTTTTATGAGGCAAAAGTCAAAATTGTGAAAATGAGCCTGACCATCAGGTCTTACTGCCCAGCTTTATCTTCATCTTCACCGCGCCCAAACAGTCTATTCGACTCCCCGATTAAATGGCCATATCCTCCTCATGTAAAAACTTCGTACTTGAAACTTTATAGGGGTCATTATGATGTAGGGAGGGGAGTGAAACACTTGTCGGTGAGTGGCGGCACTGAGAGGAAGAGGAGGGCTAGCACGGCGGCGTCTTCTTCAATGCACGTATCTCCCTGGGATGATAAACCTTACCAGGTCTTACCTAGTGGGGAAATAGCTTACTACGACGAGCGGGACGTGGTGTCGTTTCTCGATCCACCCAAACAACTTATTCCTTTAGATCCATCTTCTTACAACCCCGCTACTTATCTCTGGTATTACTCTCTCCTTCACTTTAGACATTGTTTGATAGATTTCTGTATTTCTATGTTTTTACTTACCAGTTACCACATCAAATTATGTTTAACAAGATTGTATTCTACATGTTCGATCATTTGCCAACACATAGGGCATCGAAATCAAAATATGGATTAGGGGTTGGACCTCATTCAGCTAAATTTTCAACTAGTCTTGATATGGTTCCAATCTATGCCGTGAAATTACAGTTCCTAGCTTTATGAAATTCCACTTACATGAAAGGCTTATGCTTTTTGGTTTTAATGGAAGTTTATGTGATTGGAGTCTTGGCCTGAAACCTTGATATGTATGTGATCACTAGGAAAAAGATAGATGACATCCCAGAGGAAAGGAGACATCGTTTGCTGGCATTGCTTAATCCCAGGTATTTCTCTTTGAAATTTGTATGTTTCCCTATTAGTGAAATATGTTTTCAGCGCTGCTTACCTCTTTATCTAGATGATTATGTCTGGTAATACAACTTCATGTGTGTTTCACATGAACATGTAATGAGAAGTCAAAAAAAAAAAAATTTAAAATGGAGGTTCAAATTTCATCTATTAATTTGTCCTGTTTTCTTTTGGTTGGAACTGTGCAGACTTATTTCAAGAGCTTGGGAAGTCGCAGGCACAAGATATGATAATTCAAACTTGGCAAAGAAAAGTTCATCTAACTTGTTTGGTGATGAAACAGGTGTGAAGTTGCTTGAATTTTGGCACTGCAGAACGAATGGAGGTAACTTCACCAGACTTAAACACACTTATACTGTGGTTGTCATTAACCATAGCACTACTGGTGTATACAGCTCCTCTTTTTATACCATTGATGATTTGTTTTTTCTTCAAATAGGGCCCTTGGCTGTAGCCTGGATTAATTACTTCAAGAAGGTGAATTCCGTGTTCTGTAAATCAATAGTTTCCTTTCTTATGTACATATCTTATTAAAAACATGTTATTTCAGGCTTTATTTAGCTGCAAGGATGGCCAAATTTTTGGAAGAGTTATTGGTAATTTTGGAAAAATATATATTACTAGTAATCAATCTGTTGATGATATCCAACATCCGATAAAGAAATTATAAATTTGATTCTCAGATGCAACAGTTCTGAATGGATTATCACACTCGTTTGCTCCATTATACTTCAAAGTGAAAGAGGTGACTGAAGTGATGGCAACAGAGCAGCCATGTGATGTGGCATATGAATTTGGAAGTGGAGATTTCGATTTCCAGGAATACCCTCAAGGATTTCCAAAACCAGGTTATTACCTTACATGTGGCATTTTTGTAAATTATGTATGTGTTATTCATGAGGTGTTTTGAATGTTACTGCAGGAAAACATCCATGGCCGTTTAATGATGAGGTTGTGATATATGTAAGAAACGTTGGGCCTGGTGTTATGGTGGGACAAGTATGGCAAGAAGGACAAGATTTGAAACAAGTGCCTAAGAAAATATGTAGCGAGATTTTAATGGTTAAAGATTATGATGCACAATTAGATAAAAGTTGGTGACGAAGTACTTGTTTGATTTTTAATGTTATTCATGTTTTATTATCATTATTAATTGTATTTATAAATAAACAAATAAAAAACAATGGGATGGTGAGACTGTGAGAGTGGAAAACTGGAAATGAGGGTGGGGGTCGTATTCAAACTTGCTTGATTTGCGCCATAGTTTGTGTTCCATAACTGATGCTAGTCAAATAAGATGCTTCCATATAGTTTTTTAAGACTTGTTGGTGCTTTTTTAAATAAATAAATAAATAAAAGTCATCATATAAAATATTAAATACATAATCAGAACAATTTACGATTCTAAAAATTGATTATTGGTCGATCATGATGTTGCTTAAAATATGTTGCATGCGAGAAATAAATAGTAGATGTGGCCATAGTGTGTCGGTGGACTAGCAAACACCATTTCTTTAACTTTTTTATTACAAAATACAAACTGCCCCTCCGACTTCAACTCTTTTCCATTTGAGGCTATCTTTTGAGTCGGATTCTAATCTTCAAGCTTTCGTTTTGTGTTTAATTGAACGATTTAACTGCAATTCAAAACGTTGATATCAAAATAAATGCAAAAAAATCTATAGGAAACGTATAGATTTATTTTGTATAATAAAAGTTATGACGTGGGGGAGATTTTCAACGATGAATAGATTCTGGGAGGCTACACGTGATGATAAAGTTAAGGTAGGTGAGTACATATTGGTAAAAACATGGAGGGTATCATGTGCAAATTGCAATTCACCCATGTGGACTCCTGCCATACATACATGATACATAGATCAAATCAAAGCCTCAAGCCTATCTCCCTTTCTCTTATATAATGTAGCCAACAAGAAACAGACTGCATTTTTCACAATCTCCCCTTCTTTCTGGATTGTGACGTCAGAAAAGTGGCTGCCTTCTCTTTCCCTTTTTGAAAGAGTGATTATTAGATAGAACTGGAACAAGTTTCTTGATTCGTTTATCTATGGTGGTAGTGTTGTAGTATTAGTATTTATTACACTTGCATATATAGATTGATTGATACATATATATATATATATATATATATATATATATATATATAGATAGATACGGGAGGATCTGAGAAAAATGGGAATAGATCCGAGACAGATAGTGGCAGGGGTACTTACAGTCACCATGTTTCTGATGCTTGGTAACATGGTTAAGCGTCAACATTTTGATGCTCCTATTTCTCATCATGTATGCTTCTTCTTTTCCTTCCTTCTACTCTAACTCATCTATTCATTCTCCAAATTCACAATTTAATCACATTCCTTCCTTAATTACTTGTTGTATTCAGTCCTTACTTTTTCATCTTCCGTAATTGCATTGGTACCACGACCACCTGCTATAATTTCCACACAATAATCGTTGAATGTATGGAACATGATTGATTCTGTTCCAATTATATCCCGATTTCCCCCAATTTGAATTACACTGTACATGTATTCATGGACAGAAACTAGCTACTAATTCATAAATTCCTTCCTGCAGGTCAACCATGCCGGATCTACCCAAGCTTTCGAAGACACCAAGGATTCGGATAAAAGCCTTGCAGTTGATGGCGATGGCGATGGCCCATGGAAGGAGGAAAGTTCTGGTCTCAAGCCTTGTTGGTCTAAGCCAGGTTTTGGTCAGTCCTCCAAATTAGAACTAATCCAGGAATCTCAATTACATGCTTTTCATTCCATTTCTTATCTCTAACCTTCAAACTTTGATCATATCCGGCAAGCAGAAGAGGATGAAGATTCTAAAGGGTTCGTCACTTTCTCATTAACCAATGGACCCGAATACCATGTTTCTCAGGTGATTAATTGGAGTTCTTTACAAATCATTCATGTATTGCGCAACTTTTTGTTTCATCTAATCATCGTCAACCACAGATTACGGATGCAGTGGTAGTGGCAAGATACCTCAGGGCAACACTTGTGATTCCCGACATAAGGGGAAGCCAACCTGGTGACTGGAGGTTAGTGTCCATGTCATTTCAATCTCATCATCTTCATTACAATTTACACATGCAAAACATACACGTATTCCAGGAACTTTGGAGATATTTACGACATTGAGAAGTTTGTAAGCAGCCTGGAGGGAGTGGTGAAAGTAGTAAAATCACAGCCTTCCGAGTTATCATCAAAGAATCTCGCTGTTCTAAGGATTCCCAATAGAGTTACAGATGAGTACATCGCAGAAAACATCGAACCAGTTTTCAAAAGCAAAGGAAACGTAAGAGTAGCGACGTACTTCCCTTCAGTGAACATGAAAAAGGGTAAAATCGAGCAAGAAAAAGAGAGAAACTCGGTCGGATGTTTAGCCATGTTTGGAACGCTTGAACTCCAACCAGAAGTCCGGGAGGTGGTTGACTCAATGGTGGACCGGCTCAAAACGTTGAGTCGGAAGTCCGACGGGCAGTTTGTGGCGGTGGATGTGAGACTTGATATGTTGGACAACAAGGGGTGCCAAGGAAATGGCGATGGATCTAAAAAATGCTATGGCCCACAAGAGATCGCAATGTTTTTGAGAAAATTAGGGTTTGATAAGAACAGTGCTATATATATGACACAATCACGATGGGACAACAGTCTTGATGCTATCAAAGACCTCTTCCCAAAAACATACACAAAGGTAACTATCATAGTCTCAAATCAGTTAGACATTGTTATATCGTATCCGACTAATGTTTTTATTACAGGAAGGAATAATGCCAATGGAGAAGAAGCAAAAGTATTTGGGAACGGATGCTTCCGAGTATGAGAAGGTGATAGATTTCTACGTATGTTCAGAGAGTGATGTATTCGTGCCAGCAATTTCAGGGTTGTTTTATGCAAATGTTGCTGGAAAGAGAATAGGATCAGGGAAGACACGAATATTGGTTCCTGCAAATATTCCTTCTGATGCGTCTGTTTCTTTGGGAAGTTATGTTTCGCGTTATGTATCAAAGAAGAACCATATGGCGTATTCCTGTTTCTGCTGAAAGGATGTCTTGTTCTAGTTGTATGAAATAAATGCGTGAGAAATGCTATGTAGGATCCAGAGCTTGATTTAGGAATGCTTGTTTTTTGTATTTTGATAGATGGATTTCCATATATTTATATTTATAATAGCAACCGACGATAGTGCGTTGTAAAACATTTTGTGAGTCACAAAAATCTTATACGGAGTTGTATTCTTCTTATAATACCAATGTATTTGTAGTTTTCTACTGATTCAGTAAAAAAAATTAAAAAGCACCGCTATGAATTAATATCATAGAACTTAAGCAGTAACTAAACCCAATATATCCTTTTCCATTTCCTAAAGCAACACCTTCATGTACAGAATAATCTTTTACCAACTTTTTTGGAAGACATGGATTTTAAAATTCAAAAAAAAAAAATAATTTTTTGAGTCAAAATTTGTTGGAACCAAGAACAAATTACTTAATGGAATGAGACAACTCTTGCTAATTTCTTATACCTCGATTCAACTGTTTCTTTCAAATCTGTGTTTTTATTCCTCCAGAGATCAAAACAAAATCCATCTATCAACATCTACAGATAATAATAATAATAATAATAATAATAATAATAATAAAATTTGTGAGAGTGGGAAAAATCATGGTGGTAGGATAATTGGATTGTGGGCCTCAATATCAACATGCCTAATTCCAGGCACAATTTCCTGGATTTCCTTCTCAAGTCTATCAACTTCACTCCCTAGAGCTGTTACCACCTCTTCACCTGAAAACATATAATCATCACTGTAAAATTTCTCAGGTGGTATTTTGTATGACAGAATTGGAGAAGGTTTATTCCATCGGAAATTTTATAAAAGAACAAAAAAAAATTGTTTGTTTTGCCAGATTCCTTAAATTTTGTTCATTTTCATTTCGTAGGCTTTTTTTTTCATTCCATCATGGAAAAGAATGAAAATTTTTAATGACTCATTCCATTCCATACAACCAAATAGACCCTGCTCATAAATCCATTAAATAGAATCTCGGGACATGATTAGTTACCATATAAGGACATGATCTTAAGCATTTCAGCATCATCCTCCTCATTTGCAGCACTCCGAAACTGTGCACACAATCATAAATCATTAGATTCATACTCATATAGTCATATTCATCAAACAAAGGAACCCTCTTACCTTTTTAGCCCAACCTTCAGGTCCAGTCCTACTAAGATAGTTTTGGACCAATATCACTCCATTGAAATCTGCAAGATTTTACACATCTAAAAATCTTCAACAAAACATTCAAAGTCCCAATAATCAGCTTCCCAAAAATAGGATAGAAAAAACAAAGTTGTCACCTATTTCTGCTTTAAATCTAAAGAAACCAGGCCCAATCACCTCACTTTTGCAATCATATACAGAATCTACAACCTGCAACAGGAATATAGATAAGTTTTATCAATTCAAGATTCAGATCTTAAGTTACAAGAGTTATCTAACTGTAATATTTACCGGGTCATTCTTCAAAAACTCAAGAACCCTTTTCATATCATGATCATCAATGGCTCTACCAATCAGTGCATGCCGATTTCTTTGGATGAGAAATATAGCCACCTGCAAAAAAAAAATGAGGAAATTTTTATAAAAATGATTTTCAAAATATAGCTATGAAAATACATACCACTCCAAGAAGATTTCCAACAATGATCGAACCAATGGGATCATAGATAGGATTGCCTGTTAGATTCACAGCAACTAACGATGCAGCTGCTATAACAAGTCCAGTAACTGCAGCACCATCCTGCATTTTCAATTAATAAACATGAATAATCTTGTTTTTCAAATATATGTTCCACGATCATTATAAGTGGCTAAAATGATGATTTATAAAAATAAAAGCAACAAGCTTTATTAACCTCTGTCATGACTGCAACAGATGTGGGATCATGTCCACGCCAAACATAGTCTCTAATTGTCATGCCTTCTGCAGCTGCACCTTTTCTGACAGCATCCACAGCCACAGCAAGTGAAGCACCTATAATCAAAGTAAAACGTTTTCTTGTTTCTTTAAATCCATTTATCATGTAGTATGAAAATGTTTGTATCTACATATAGTTTCGGTGTCACCTTCAATAATGAATGAGCCACCAATCACCAAAGCTGCATACAATATATTTCCAGGTGGCTGTGTAGTGTACAAGTATCAACAAGTTTACATTTCCATTTTTGTGTTAGATGAGAGACTAACAGAGGTTAAAGTAGCTAAATATAATCTGCATAAAGTACCTGTGTAGTCCATAAATTTTGAACTCCATTTACAATTGTGGCACCAGAACCAAGACAAAAGATCCCAACAGCAGATATCAAAGACCAGACGAATCTTTCCTTGGAATAGCCATACCTGACAATAGAAGGGGAATCAATTAGCACATGGATGAAGAGCATCTGTAAATTGCAAATTGTTAACATGATGAGGAAATATGAATGGCAAAGGAGATACTATACTCACGGGTGAAGAGCATCTGGAGCACGTTTTGAACTGTTTAAGCCGTATAAAAGAAGTGCCTATGACATGAATGTTGGTTAATTTCTTTCAACTTTAAGATAAAAGACAAGAGAAAAGATTCGGATAAAAACAAAGCAAGAATTGAATCCGAAAGGGAGATTAGTTAATGGTTATTTCACTTTCACCTGATTTGCAAAATCTGCAACAGAATGGACAGTTTCAGCCAGCATGACATGGCTTGAGGTGAATAGCCAGACCCCCAACTTGAGTGAAAAGACGAGAAAATTGCACCATAAGGCTGTGGTAACAGCTCGCTGACTAGCAAGAAAAATTTCACCAACCAACAAATGAATGATAGGAAACAATGGCTTCTTATAAAGAAATCGAAGGTTACAACTTGTTAGTCAATTTACAGGCGATAATAGGTTAAGGGTTACAGATAGATACCTATGATCATCGACCTCTATCTTCTTAATTTTTTTAGGTCTAGTGATAAAACCTGCAAAACCGCGACAATTTGTTGTTTTAATTTTACAAAAGAAAATACGAAGCTGATGGTGTGTAGAATGAGTGTAAACAAAGTAAAATTGAGTTTACTCCGGTGAATAGAATATCGGTAATTAGCGTCATTAGGGATGATGGTGGAGGGGGGAGAATCGGGGACAACAGGGCGTTGTAATGAAAAGGGAGGATTGAGAAGGCGTCGGTCTGAAATGGGACGTAAACGGTGATAAGAACGGGATAAGAGAGGGTGGTTGTGGTTGGGTTGTGGTGGGGGGTCTAGAATACGGGTAAGTACAGGGTAGAGGTGGCGACGATGGAGGCGAGAGAGGAGACAACGATGATGATAGATTGGCATGAGTATTATCGTGGTAAGCTTATCGTGCATAACACCATTATTGTTTATCAGCTTACTAGGGTTTGAAGTTTTCCAGGAAAGAGTTTTACCACTCCATCTCTGATCATCCGCAGTCCCCACCTCTTTTTCTTCCTTAGATTTCTATTTGAGGGTGTTTATTTGCTCATTGGTTCCGCTAAATCGATGATAAACAGTCGACATGACTTAAAATGAGTTTTGCAAAGGTTTTTTTTTTTTTTTTTACATAACAAGTGAAACCGTGTATTACACGGGTTGATTTAAAAAAAATTAAACATTAAAGTGTAAACATAATTTTTTTTTTAATGTATAACTTTAAAATAAAGAAGATACATATTTATTGCAATTTAATATCATATATATCATATATAATACTTTACATATATAATTATATGATTTTAATTTTAAAAAATTGAAATAAACCAAAAATTAATTTCAAAAATACCACAAAATGACAAGTGTCAAAATTAATGAGAGGTTGACATATGGCAAAAAAACCTTCATTTATTAAGGAGGATTTTTGTTGTTCAATATATAAAAATAATCATAGTATTGTTGTGTGTGAGACAAAGGATTATTATTTACTAATCAGCCATTTATCATTAAATTTGTTTTTAATTATGACCAATTATTGTAGGTTGAGAGACGACTTTGGCATCTTCGATGAGTTTAACATAGATTTCCTGATGACTTGGTTTTTTCTCACTCTAGAAAACCAAAATATGTTCGTGTTCTCGAAACAAGAAATTTAGATTCAAAAATTTAGAAATTGAAGTTCAAAAGAACATATATTCTAAAATTGTTCAAGAAATCTTTTGTGTGTGTTCAAGAAACCTAGATGTGTTTCTAATGAAATGTGAAGATGAACACCAACAACTTGTATGTTAAAACTCATATGTTCATGAGAACCTGAAATTCTAATGATTTGAAAACCTTGCACCCTATGTTTAATAAATGTGGTAAATGACAAAATGGAGAAAACTTTTGATTTATGTCTAAAGGGAAAGGTAGAAAGGAAGTTAGGAATAATAATTAAGAAATAACTCATGGTATCGACGTCTAAAAGGAAAGGTAGAAAGGAGGTTAGGACTTAGGAATAATCATTAAGAAATAACACATGGTATCGATGTCTCCCGAAGCTTAAAACCGGTGAAGTTCACAAGTTAATGATGTTAAAAGGAGACAAAACATAATTAGAATCATAAATTGTAACTTTATATGTTTACCAAACTCACACAGTTGATAAACATTATATATATATATATATATATATATATATATATATATATATATATATATATATATATATATATATATATATATATATATATATATATACTATTATTACAATGAACGTAATAACTATTTCGAAGTAAATTCAAAATAACCTAAACAATGATGCCATAAATCTTGAGAAATAGCAGTAAAACACAACAGACAGAGCACAAAGTTGATGAATCTAGGAAGCAAATATACGATAGAGGTCCCCGATACTATTGCATCTAATGAACATTTTCCTTATTAGATGGGCCTTCATAGTAAACTCGAAATGATCAAAGTCAAGGGAGATTATTATCGATAGAAAGACAACCGACATAGATTAAGTTTTTAACAAGATGACGACAATGAAGAACATGTTTTGAATGAAGAGACGATGAGGTGATAGAAGAGTGGTATGTCCACATTTGTGAATTTGAATTGCATGACCATTTCCAGTTTATATTTTTGTTTAAATAAAGCATATCGAAATAACAAAATCGATTGCCTTGAGAGCACATATGCTATTATTAAAGGTTATTTTTGTTTAAATAAATCATATTGAAATAACGAAATCAATTGCGAATGTGGAATTGGGGGCCATACCGATTGTCATGGGATACTGTTGGAAGTGGGTTTGCGGCCTCAACCATTATCTTGGTTTTTGGATCCATTATCATGCATGTCTTGTTGACCATCAATCGTTATTATTATTGAAATGCTTGTCTAATCGTTGATGGTTTTGGGCAATACCCTGGTTATAGGGATTTTGGCAGAAGAAATGTGGGTGGCATTGAGATTGTGAGAAGAGCTTAAGCGACTTGCTTAGCACGTCGAGTTACTTCAAGGACAAACTTCGAGTGTGTTTTGTAGACAAGGAACGAAATGATTGGTTTGTTGAATGAAGGAGACAACACCATCATAATGCCGATTATGAGTTGTAACACCACATGGTGTTTAGTTTCGAGACACAAACCACGGAGAGTCGGCAAACGTCTTTAACTCTTTGTAGTAGGAGGAAACATTGAAAAAACCGTCGAGATAATTAAATTGGAGAATTGAGTTTCTAGGTAGACGACAATGTAACTTTTGTTGTCTTGGAAAATATTTTGGTGGCATTATATTGATTTCAGAACAATAGCATCTAAAGGGGACCATGTTTCAGTATGGTTTGGGTGCAATAATGTGGTCGATGGACTTATAGCTAATGAGTTTTTTAATCATCTGTACCAAGACATATATTGGAACTTTTCCATCTCAATGGTGATTGGAATAACTTTTTGATGGTGAACTCCGTGAGTGCCGTGTGGAATGTGGGCTTGATTATACTTGTTCCCAACATATAAACAAGTGTTGATATCCTTATCAATGGAAAATAAATAGCCAGATAGAAGATACTCTAGGAGTAGATATTTTGACAAGAATTAGGAATATACATAGAAGTAGAATAAAAAGGTCGCCTAACATTTTTACCTTGGATAGAATCAAAAAGTTGCCTAACATGGCTTTGTTACATCTATTTTTATTTTTTTTTATCCAAATTAGATAAAGATCCATAGATGTTTTTACTAAAATGACCCCAGTAATTTAAAAACAGAAATGTAAAGAGAAACAAAAATAACGAGAGTGGTATAGATAAATAAAAATAAAATCCGTTGAGATGATTTGGTGCTGCTAGTCTATAGTTTAACATAAAATTAAACAAAAACCACTAGTACAATTATCGGTCTCTAAAGTGTAAACGGACTAACTACTAGACTATTACGTCTATTAAGAATAGAATTATAAAACAAGTACAATCATCTGATCCTAACTCCCCACATGTAAATGTTTCCTTTATTTGGCATGGCCAATGAGAGGGCCCAATAGCCTAATGAATCCTTAGGCTATTGGGCTTCTAATCCTCTGCCTGCCACCCAAAATTTCCATAAAAAGGCAGAAGTGGGTCTTTCTCACAAGGCTTTAATTAACGATAGTAGTCCTAAGTCCTAAGTTCCACCAAAACGACCTTCTCTCCTAGCACGTAGTCTGGTAGTGGTGGTAGGTGGTTGTTTATGTTGTTTGGAACCTAACCCTAACCCTAATCCAAGACGAGGTACAATTTTTAAAGGATGGGCTTCTGTGTTGAATACCCACTCATCCAAAGATATAACTGATGGGGGTGAGAATAAAAGATACAGATATTTCAATGTTTCTGCAAGAAAGAAGCTTTGCATCATATTGTCTTTCACACCTGTATTTACCTGAAATTCATAACATAATCACCAAATTAATATCTTTAGACTAAACCAACCTCATACATATTATTCTGCTCCAAAAATCAATCTTTTTCTAAAAAGGCTCCTTGATCCAAGTTTTTTTTAAATGACTATTTTGCCCTTGGGCTAAACCAGGAGATAAAAATAAACACAGTGAGCAAATTTGTAACTTGCTCATACTTTTAGTATTATTATATATCATTTTCTAAATCATAACTTATTTTACTTTTTAAAGTATAGATACTTGGTTTAAGAGTAAATTACATTTTTGGTCCCAAAGTACAACTGATTTTTTCAACCTTAGTCCCAATAAGTTTTATCTTGCAAATTTGGTCCTTATTTGAGAGCATTTTTTTGGGTCACTGATCAAAGTAGAATGACCATATTTTTGGGACCAAACCAACAAAAATCAGAGGGGACAAAAATAGTCATTTTACTGGAATCAGGGACCTCAAAGGCAATACAGAAACCTCAAATAAGAACCAATATTGCAACAAAATTGCAAAAAATCAGCTATACTCAAGGACCAAAAATATAATTTACCCTTTATTTAAAGAAGAGAAAATAAAACAAGGTTTCTTGTCAACCAATCATAAAAAAAAAAAAAAAAAAAAAAAAAGCACAAGTTTTTAAATTATTTTACAATTATATTAATTAACAAGTCATTAACTTCAAACTTGGTCCAAGGGCAAAATGGTCATATTACAAACCTAACAGCTAAAAAGCAACACCATCAAAGAGAAGGACCAAACTTAGAACAGAATCTACCCAAAAGGACCTTTTTTCAGAAAGACAGAGAGAAAAAAAAAAAGATTCGTTTTCGGATTGTACCCAGAAAAAGTGACAAAATCTATTATTAATAAAGATCCCATAAAATAATAAAAAAGTTTATGGATAGAAAATAGAATAGATTACTTACATCCTTAAGTCCAACATATCCGGCCTCCACACGGGAGTTCTTTTCAAAAGCTTGAAATATATTCCACCCCCAATCTTGATAAGTCTTGTTACCAGTTAAACGCCACAAATAAAAAAGCGATTCAACTGTTTCTGGTCTTAATATGTTCCAAGATGTGCCCACACTCATGTCCTACAATACAGTATTTTTTTTATTATTATTAACATTATTTTATATATATTTGACCAATCAATCAAGTAATAAAACTAACCTGCCCTGAATGAAAGAAATAATTTTCTCCTGCCAACTTTGTTGGTGTCGACTGATAAAAGTTATAGCATGTCCACGCAAGCTACATTCAAAAGCCAAAACTGCATATTTATCTTTAACAAATTATATATAATTATGGTGGGATGAATTTAATTACCTCTTCTGCCAAATTTAAGAATTTTGTGGAATCAGCAGGACCATAACCAGATGAACCTAAGGCTATCATTCCTGGTGCAAAGCATGCTAACTCATCCATCTGCATGCATACATAAGAAGAAAGTATAAGTTTTTAAGATTTTTTATACAGTTAATGGATTTTAATAAAAAATATATATATGGTAATGGTACCTTATCAATCAAAGAATTCCCTATCTTCTCAGAAATGTATGTAAAAGATGAAGGTGCAGTTCTTCGAACCAAGCTCAATAGACCTTTCATTGATGTCTCCCACATTTCCCTATTTTAATAAAATTTGTCATGAGAAAATGTGAAGCTGAAATAATTTCAATTACCCAAAATTACTAAAAGAATTCTCACCTATAATGCTTCACCTCTGCTGTTTTGTTTCCTTGTATCCAAACTTTAAGTAAATACTCATAGAAACTGCATCCAAATTTATATATGAATTTTAAAATCATGCCATTGTTTAAAAAAAATGGACATTTAGTACCTGTCCCCCATGGCCCCAAAAGTAATGGTGGAATGAGATGCTGTTCCTCTGTGGGGATTTATATAAATGGGGAGTAATCCATCAGCAGGAAAAGTCTTGTTAAGCTCTAGAATAACATTTTCTACCTGAAATATCAATTTACAAATTACAATATTAAATTTGGTCAAATATCCTCATATATGAATGACACTACGGGGAACATACCTTTTGTTGATACTTTGGATCTCCAGTTCTTTGAGATAATGCAATAAACTCCAGTTGCTCTGTCCCAGAATCTGCCAGGATACTATCACCCTAAGAAAACATAAGAAATATATACATTAACACTTGAGAAAAAGACAAGTCAACATTTTATTTTCTATGGTCAAAGTTTACAACTTACCCCAGTCCAACCAGGGTTATGTGCATTACCATGAGCCAGGTTAATAATGTTGTAAGGGATACCAGAAGGAGTATTCCATGCTGGAAGTAACCTATCAGCTATGTCTTTTGCCTTTTCAAGAAAGACATTGTCTCCGGATAAATCATAAGCACTCAAAAGCCCACCTACAACCCTGTTTTAAAAAAATGGTAAATATTTCAAACGATTAGGTTGTCTCATTGTATAATAATTACTAAATTGGTTACTGAACAATAAGCAACAATATATTAAACCTTACAAAGCAACCTTATGGTCGTCTCAAACACACTGGCATCATAATTCTTATTGAAGTCCAAAGTGTTTGCAACCCACCTAGATAAAAGTGCACAGATATATAAAATAATCTCTATGGGCAAAAACAAAGAGTCCAAGTTAATGAAAATAAGATAATGGATCATACTCTTTAGCCCTTTGAAACTCATCATCTAGGCCCATTATATATAAGGTATCAAGAGAGTCTATTAAAGTTGCACCAAGACCACCAAAGCTATCCACACCATTCTTTGATTGGGGCTACAAAACAAGATTTTAAAAGAACTCAGCATTTAAATATAAATGATATGTTTGACTTAAAGAATGATATACCTGAAGTTCATCATGGCCCCAAGCATATTTTTCATATGAGGTCCATGCATGAACCATAGCATCTTTGACTTTTTCTCTTCGTTGAGTCTCAATTGGATCAGGGACATAACTGTCCATTTTGGTTAGATCAGTTCTTTTGGTTGTAGTATTCATCTTTTTAACTGAAACACCACCTTCTTGCGTTAACTCTCCTAGCTGCAAGGAGGCAATAAGTTTAGAATACAGGTGATTTCCAAGTTGTATGGATCTTGAGATAAAGATCAAAATGTGATACCTCATTTTGCAAACGTTCCATCTCTTCTTTCAGCTTTGAGAGCTCTTCCTGTCAATCAACAGTGGTTTGTAAATACAGGAAATAAAACAAGTAAAATGCATTTCTAACCCTTCCATATAGGTCACAAGCCCTAAAATTTAACATGATATTCTACTCATCGTATAGCTTGAAGCCTGGTTGATACTGAAGAGTTGTTCTTATTTCTCTATAAATCTACCAGAAGCTAGAATAAAGGACTGAGGTTGGTGATCTCTTGCTAACACGAATTTCTATTAACATATCACAGAAATTGATTGAAGGAAATTTTCTGTGGATCTCTTCTCTTCCTGTGTAGACCTAAATGAGATCACTAAACACCTATTTTGACTGATTCTAGTTGGTATTCCCCAAATCCAGTCAAAAGTAGAGAATTTAGAGTTATTTCACAATCACTCCCAATCAGGGATCATCAGTGCGTGTTACTTGAGCGACCTTTGATAAACTACGAGACAAATAAGACTATGATCTCACGACCCTATAATGGAATTGCAACGGGTAAAAGTTAATAGAAATGTATCTCTACGATACCTCATGTTCCCGAACAAGAGTCTGACGATCCCATACGAAGAATGAGACGAAGACGAAAGCCATGAAAAGTAGAGCAAGACGTTTGGGGCGTTTCAAGTAATATGCCGGATTGACGTACCTCCATCGGATCGACGATGAGGATCTGCTCCTTGCCATTTTTCTTTCAATATTTAACAACTATATGTGTGTATATACTTATTATAAATATGTTACAACAACCGATCAATGGTGTAAGAATATGAAATCAGGTTTCCACATGTTACACAGCGGATAGAAAATTGAAGATAAATCGGAGAAATGGAATGGGATCTAGATGGCGATCTCTCCCGTTTCGCACACGGTGTGGAATCTGTTATCCTCCAAGAAACGGGAGGAAGACGAAGACGACGTTGATGTTGGATGGATTATTATGACGGAAGTCACCAAATGAAATTAATTGGAAAAAGGAAAGAAATTTATTATGAGTTTTTAATTTGTTTTCTATGAAATTAATTGGAAAAAGGAAAGAAATTTATTATGATTTTTTTTACCGTCAAATATATTATATTCTACCCCTACAATTCTTCTTAAATCTTCACGTATCTTCCCTTATAGGACTTAAACCATCGATCTCAAAAATGAAGGGCAATACCGGATACCGCTATACTAGAAAGTAAAATGTTTGCAACCTGTCAATTATATCTGTAGACATCTACAGAAGAAAAGATAGATCAAACGTCTACAGTCTGTAAGAAAAAAAAAATTGTGTGTTCTTTAAAGTCAGCATGTTGTGTAAAAAAAGTTTAAATGAATTTGTTTTTTGAAACTTAAAAGCAATGATCTAAATAACATAAGACATGACTTGGTGTTAAAATCAAACCTCAAGTTTTATTGAGTCGTGACGAGCAAATTCGTTTGTAAAGTGTGACTTAAGGCGATAATTTTGTATATATATATATATATATATATATATATATATATATATATATATATATATATATATATATAATATATATATATATATATATATATATATACATAAAACTTAAGACGGTATTTTGTCAAAGTTTGATAGCAAATACAAACTTTGGGGCTACAATGAGTTTTTTAGAACATTGCTTAAAAGACTATTTCATTCATTATAGTTTTACAATGCTAAAATTAAATGTATACAATCAACATTATAATTCTTTTTTTTATTATTAATATTTAAAATACAAAATATTTGTTTTATATAATTAGGAAACACATTAATTCTTGTATTTTGATGTATTCGTCGTCCAACTTATTAAATTATTAGATATTACTTTTAAAACTTTTATATTTCTACATTCATTGTTTTAAACTAGAAGGAATTCGGTTGCACCGTTGGCGCTAGTTTAAATAATGTTTGAAAATAAAAAGCTGAAAATAACTTTTTGGAAATGGCATTAAAAGTTATATAAATAGAATTTGTTTACGTTGTAATTATCCATTACATTCCATGATTGAATGAAAAAGAAAAAAAAAAACATTTACTCAGTAAACAATGAAAAATTAACAAATATGAGGAACAGAATGGTCCATTCCATTCTATCTGGCAACCAAATGAACAATTTCATTCCTTACTTCATCCCATCATACCAAAAAAGACGTACTTATGCATGTATCATGGTCTCTTATATACAGAAGGTCACCACTATACGTGCACTCATAGCTTCCCTATAAGGCGAAAAGCATATAAATAAATGTTAAGATCATTACTTCAATTTAAAGTAGCACAAAAGGATGGCTTCCTCATGGGGTAATTTAACCATTTAGCATAATTACCAATCCAATTCCTTCGACTAGGAAAATCAGGACATATTTACTTTAAGAGTCTGATATGTAACATTTGGTTGAAGTCCATCTTCCTTCATCCTTCTAAAGAACTTCTCAACTCGTTCCATGTCAGATGTATTCACATATGTGATATGTCCACAACATACTTGTGTATGGACAAAAATCCGGTGTACATCTGCATATGAAAAAGGAATTTTAGTTTTTATCTCTTGTTTATAAGAAAAAAAAAAAGATGCAAATACCCTCACATGTTTCTTCACATACTCTTGAACACAATCTTGGTCTGGTCCACTATTCCAGATATCACAAATGCATCAAGCAAGATGTTATACACCTTTTATGTTGGATATCAAACATAAGAAGCAAAGATTGAATCTTGGGTAAATCTCCAAAAAGCAAAAGCAGAAGCTCAATCAAGAAAACTTAAAGTAAAAAAAAGATTTTGATTTTCTTCTCCAATGAATACATTTAATGAAAGTGAAAATTACATCTAAAACTTACATATTTGAGATATTGGTCGGCCAGAGTAGCAGCTATTTTAAGAACATTTCACATGATGTTAATCTCTAGTAAAGCATGGCCATTATGTGCTATAGCCCTGATGTAGAAAGCATAGATAACATTAGATATAAACAACCACAAACACAAATGAAAATGAAATGAAATCTATATCTAAAGGTAATTTACTAGGGTTAGGTCTGAGTTGATGAAAGTATGGTAGTTGTCTGATTAGCTGCACATCTAACTTTATGTAGTTTAAAACCCATAAAAGACACAAACATGACAAAATAAACTCTGATGAAACTTACAAATTAATGATACTAATTAAGCAGAAACAGAGATCTATTGAAGTTTATTTACCTTCTTCATCTCAATAGGTCTTAGTGTCCCTTCCTCAAAAACTTTAGCTTTCTACCTTGTTCAAATTCATTCATCTCTCCAACGAATCAAAATCAGCCCAAAACTAAAATTCAAGAAAAATTTTTGTTAACTATGAACCAATACTTCAGTTAGGGTTAGGGAGAGGCGGATAGAATTCAAAGAGGCCTTGATGAGCTTCACTTCAAATCAAGTAGGACATCAATGAGAGTTTTCAAGTGATCGGTACATTCCATGTAGGTGAGTGCAACTCAATAGCAAGACCATTATCCCAATTTTATGAAATCAAATAGGTGACTGTTCCAAAAATTGATCGTTCATATGGACCAAATCAAGATTAGCAATGACTGATGTAGTTGTTGTAATAAATCTTCAATTTTAGAATAAAAAATTAACATTAAGACATACGATAGAAACTGTGATGCAAATAAATAATAACACCAAAACTAATAGTGTGGAATAAGGATGAGATTCAGAAGCGGAAAACCGGACCGGAACCGGAATCAGACTGGAACCGAAACCGTTAGAACCGTAATATGTAGAACCGGTCCGTGTCCCGTGTTTAAACAATGGCTTTATTTGAGTTCCGGGTAATCCGGGTTTTGGGTTTTGGGTCCGGGTAAACCGTGTTTAAGAACCGGAACCGTGTTAGGAACTGGAACTGGTTTCTATGAAAAGTTTAAAATATGCATATCTCATTTGCTTGAAGTCGGATTGACATGAGGTTTTTTCAGAGTGTAGTTTATAGTTTGTACATGATTTTAGACTATAATTTTGTCATTTTTGAGTTAATACGCATTGACTTACAGTCCTTCAAAGTCAGGATATCAAAGCTGGACATTTTATGTTTTTCATATTTTTTTTAATTATGTGAATCTTTTATAACATGCATATCTAATTCGTTTGAAGTCGGAAGAGCATGTGGTTTTTTCTAAAGTGTAGTTTATAGTTTGTACATGATTTTAGACTATAATTTTATCATTTTTCATTTCATATTCATTGACCTTCAGTCCCCCAAAGTCGGGATATCAAAGCTATGAATTTTTTGTTTTCGACTTTATTTATATATTTTGTGAAAATTTAAAAATGCATATCTAATTCGTTTGAAGTCGGATTATCACAAGGTTTTTTTGTAACATGTAGCTTAGAGTTTATACATGATTTTAAACTACAATTTTATCATTTTTGGCTTCACATTCATTAACTTACAATCCCCCAAAGTCGGGATATCAAAACCGTGAACTTTCTGTTTTTCAGGTTTATTTTTATATCTTGTAAAGTTTTAAAAATACATATCTAATTCGTTTGAAATCGGATTATTATGAGGTTATTTGCAACGATACTTTAGAATTTGTACATGATTGTAGACTATAATTTTATCGTTTTTGGTTTAATATTCATTGATTTATAGTCCTCCGAAGTTGGGATATCAAAGTTGAAAATTTTAGACTATAATTTTGTCGTTTTTGGTTTAATAATCAATTGAAAATTTTAAATAATACAAAATTGTGAGATTGATTATGTGCAATTTTAACGATAAAATATTATATAGTCTTAAAATTACTACACAAGGTATTTAATAAAATGTTTTAGTGGATTAGTATTTAAAACTCTGATTTATTGTTTTGTTTTGTTAATCTTAATTTTAGCTGCTATTAAGTTGGGAATTCAAGTTTGTTTTATTATTTGTTATAATATTTATATAAAATATTAAGTTCTGAATCCACTCCAATTAATTTGTGAATCCATGCTTCTTTAGTTATTTGTTATAATTTTTTATTAAATTGTTATTTATGGTTTATGTTTTATGATTGTTACGATGTGAATTGAATTTGGAATGTGGGTTATTATGCTAGCGTTTTTTCAAACAATGTAAATTTAGTTTTTTTTTTTTTTTTTTTTTTTAAGTTGTGAATTGTGATGTTTTAATGTTTAAACTATTGTTTAGTTATGTTAAAATAAGCTTTAACTATGAATGGATGAATTTATATGCTTTTAATTTATACATACTATGAATGAGAGTCATGAACTCTTTTAATAAACTATGAATTTATGTGTAAGGTGTTTATGAAATGTTTCAACAAAATAAAGAATGTTTTGAAGCAGTAAATACTAAGAATGAGACTCCTAAACTATTTAATTAAACTCTGAATTAAAGTCTTGATTATATATTTTTTTGTATTAAACTTTGGATTTATTATGTTAAGCTGTAAAATTTGTGTATTAAAATGTTAATTATATGTATCAAAATATGAATTGACTGTATTAAGTTGTGAATTGACTATATTGAGTTATTAATTTTTTATGAATTCTTTGTTTTCATATAAAATATGAGATGAAAAAAACACTATACACGGATCTAATTTTATCTATTTTTGAATAAAGTATGTAAACTTTGATTTCTAAATATTTGTGTAAAAAATCTTTGAAAGAAGTACTAGGCTATAGATCTAAATGTATAAATATAAGTTTTAAGTTGCGAATATGATTGTGAATGTATAGTTATTGTGTATTAACCAATGAATTTATCATATTAAGATGTGAATTTTGTTTACTAAATTGTAACCTGGTAGTATTAAGTTGTAAATTGACTGTATTAAACTATGAATTTTTAAAGAATATTGTGTTAAAAATAGACTTATTTATTTACGAATATTTGTATTAATTTCCTTGTAAATATATAAATTTTTTGTGCTGTATAAATATGTTAAAATATATTAGTTTCTATTATTATTTTGCATTAAACTTTGAAT